GGGCCCGGCCAACCGCCGAATTTAGTAACATCGCCTGCGTCAATCACGCGCCTCGCGTGCGTCAGCGCCGCGCGGCTCCAGGTCCTGCTACCCCCACCCCTCCTAGCCGTTCAATGGCTGCAGTGTAGCAGCGCCCTCCTTCCTTCTGAGACTGGATTGGAACCCGTGGCAGTGCACAGGCTCGGTTCCTGTCCGCTAGGTCAACTTTCGGAGCACCCTTCCACGGTCTTCTGCACACCACCCTGTCTCAAGTGGAAGTGGCGGCGAAGAAATTTACCCATAGAATACATATAATTTTAGTTTTGTTTTCAAATTTCTGGTCCTAACTCGAACCTTCGATTCTGAATTGTGTGCTGTCGACAACGGAGTACTCCCCACTCCGCCCCCTACACACATGCAAAGACTGTGACAGGTCAAGACATTGTCGCATTTGATTCAAGCGGACCACATGGGGACCACGTCTGTCTGTATTGTTTCACTCAAATATTTTCTCCTCCTCAAAAATTAATTTCTAAAAAGAGGTTGCTTTCACTCAGCTGCAACCTTTGGAACTAGGAGAATTTAACTCTGATAAAATTTTGATTAAGCAAGAAAATCACATTTAAATTCATCACTTGGAGGAAGAAATTGCTCTCTCTAACAGAACTACCTAGGCTTTCAGCACACCATTTCATGACAAATGTGTCCCAGGAGACTAGAGCAAATCCCCTAGGGAGGTACTGACTAATAAATCCTGTTGATTGATTTCGAAATGTTTAATTTGGGAGATGGGAGGGGAGCCTCATCTACCACCACCAAAAAGTGAAAGTGCGAGCTGAGAGTTCCACTTCTGACGGGAAGGGGATGATTTGCAACAGTCAGACCCGCTCAGCTGTTCAACACGTGTGTGTTTGTTTAACACACTCTAAGTAGTTACTGCTGCAGCGCGCGCGTGGATGATGGATGTGCACTTACTTGGGTTATAAGGTCCAGTTAGGAAACCCACACCTCAAAGAAATAAAACCTTATCTTCCCGGAGCCATTGGCATCCATGTGTGAAACATGCACCCAGCAAATGACGGGAGGAGAGGGATTAGCCTAGGCGCAGAGGGCCAGAGAGACGTAAACAGCTTTAGAACTATTGCTTGGGGAAAGCGCAGCTGCGCCTCAGAGAGTCTTCGGACTGGTGCCTGACTCCAGCACCGGCTGCCAGGTCACTCGGAGAAGCTGGCTGGCGGAGCCTTCCTTTTCGGAAGAGCTGTCCTCTCTCTTACCCCCTCGCCCTGGCTTCCTGCCTCGGGGCAGCCTCGGAGGAGCGCCAGCAGCACTCCTCCAACTCTACTCCACCCGAGCCTGACAGCTGGGCGGTCCCGCCTGACCCGCGGGCGGGCCGCTGCACCCTTACAGACTTGCGCCCGGGCAGGCAGCGCCGTCGCAAGGAGGGTTGGCAGCGCGGGTCCGAAAGGCCCCCAGGCGGGGACTGGCCGCGCCGCGCAGTTTCCATTGTGCTGCCCTGCAAATGGTCGGGGAACGCGTGTGCGCGCGCGCGCGCACACACATGCACACACCCCCTCCCTCGCACACGCGGAACCCGCTGGGCCAGGGGAGGGAGGAGGAGGGTGACGTAGCGTCCCATGGCGTCACATTGACGTCTCGCATTCCAGGCACTCTATGGAGAGGCCGCTAGGGCTCCTGTGGCATAAATGACGTGCCGAGAGAGCGAGCGAACGCGCAGCCGGGAGACCGGAGTCTCCTGCCTCCCGCCCCCACCCCTCCAGCTCCTGCTCCTCCTCCGCTCCCCATACACAGACAAGCTCACACCCGCTCCTTCACTCGCACACACAGACACACGCGCGCACACACGCTCCGCACATACACTCCACTCTCTCCCGCGCGCTCCCACCCCTCTAGTCCTGCGCCCTCGCCGGTGCAGCGCAGCGCGGCTGCCGAACGCCCCTCTTGGGCTCACTCTGCAACGCTGACAGCGCCGGTGGTGTTCGTGGAGGTGGGAACAGAGGCGGCATCCTCCCCTCTGGTCGCGGCCGGAGCCAGGACGCCCGCGGAACCCTTCGGCGGCGCTCTCCCATGAGTCGGGATCGCAGCATCCCCTGCCAGCCTCTTACTGCCTCTGGGAGCCGCTGGACTTATACACGGCAGCCCTTCCGGGACAGCAACTGTGACTCCCCACCAGTGCAGATTTCGGGGCAGCTTTCTAGAAACTCGCTCTAAAGACGGAACCGCCACAGCACTCAAGTACGTATGAGATTTGCTCAGTTAATTGGGGGACTTGCTAAAAAGTTGGCGCGCTGGGAAGCGAAGCTTCTGAAATTGACAACTTTGACTATGGGGTTTTCCCCCCTCGCCTCCTCTCTCTGTCTTTGCTTGCGAGCGGCCAGTGAGTTCTGATCTGAAACTTTTCCCCTGTAGCGGGCCCGCGGGGATCCCTGGAGCTCGTGGGACTCCTCCCCCCACCCGAAGAGGCGAAAAGCCTCTAACAAAGAGGAGGACCGGGATTTGTGCAGTAGCAGCTCCAGCGCTGTAATTCAGGGTATTTCGGCTCTAGTTGTCATGGTAATGATGCTCTAGGCGGCGGCGGCGGCGGCGGCAGCGGCGGCGGCGGCAGCGGCAGGGAGTTACAGCTCCGGTGATGAACGGCAGTAATTTTCCTGCCTTTTAACTAGGATTGAAAATAGGGGCTCCGGTGGATCCAAGTTAATATACCTAATGGTGACTCCGAGCTGTTTGGGAGGAAGCTTGGGAGGGAAGGGGCTGGACGGCAGCGGCCAGAGTTTGCCGGGGCGCTCCGAGGATCTCAGGAAAGAGGTCGTAATTGTAGAAATGTGGCTTATTGTATTGAAATGAGCCTGGGGCTCCACTGGGCACGTCTGGCTGGCGTCGCCGACTTGCCCGTTTGCACTTTTCCCTTCGGAGGTAATCGGGTATAATTGTTGACCCCTGTGCCCCGACACGCGTGGCGACCGTGTCTCTCTCCTCTGGGCCTTGAATCGGTATGTTAAAGGCATGTTTTACTCAACTGACAGACTTAATTCGTGATTATGGAGAAGTTGCTGAGTGTTTTACTCTTCGTAGAAATGAAAGTTTTTGGTGGTGAGAGGAGAGCGGTTGTGCCGAGCGCAGCCTGCGGAGACTGACTTCCAAACGCACCTCTCGAACCTGTTGGAAGCTTGGGGCAGTCATGAGGGAGAAAGCATTTGTCCCTTGATTGCAAATTACGTTTCTGGATATTGTCTTTTATTTATTATGCCCATGTATCTTCCAGAGGGAAGAACTGCAAGGAGTTTGGTAATCAGAAATCTCGGGTTGTTATTCCAGAGCCCTAGGGTGCCAGGAGAGAGGTACAGGGCGCCGTTCAGTCATTTCATCGCGAATCTAATCCTGAATTTTCTTTTCCCATGACGGAGAAATATCTAACAGAACTGAGTTGGGGAAAGGAAAAGCTGCCCAACGCGGCTACTGGGCAAAAATAAATGAAGTTTGAGTTTATTCGAGTTCTCTTAGCTGAAGAAAATGCCCGTAATGTGAATATCAAGGACTCCTTAGGCCATAGCGTCTCCCACACCCGCTCCCTCACCCCGCACCCATCCACCTCCTTCTCTAGGACCGTGCGCTCGCAGAAATTCTCCCCGGCGGTTTGTCTCCTCTCCCTCGGTCTTTCTGAGAATCTCTGTCTTTCCCTTTTTGTCGGTCTCTCCTCCACTCCTCCTGCCCCCGCCCAACCTCCGCCCCCGCTCCCCAGGGTTGGAAACTCCGCGGAGGAGCCCCGGTCACAATGGTGCGTTTCACGGTTTCCTCCACACACTTCACCACGGGGAGGAGAACACGGGGGTGTTCCTTTCGTCTACCCACGAGAAAGAAAGGGGCTTTGACAGAGGTAGTTATTTCTTCCTAATTTACAACCCTGAGGCTCCGTGCTCCCGGCCGCAGCGGCCGCGAGCGGGAGCGGAGCAACGTGTTTCCAGGCGCAGAGGCTTTGCCTAGGTAACCGGCCGTTTCGGGGGGCGGGGTGGGGGGAGCGGAGAGAGCCGAGGAGCGCTCGGCTTGGCTGTAGGAAATGTGGTGTGGCTCTCCTTCGCAAACGCTGGGCGCTCGAGGGGAGCCCCTTCCTTGAGGAGATGCTACCTTCGCCCACCTGAGTCAGAGGCCGATCCTTGAAGAAAGACTCAGCTTGAAAGGCCCCGGGGAAGGGAAGGAATGCGGGCACCTGGAGGAGGTAGTGGGAGGTTGCTGGAGAGTCCTTTTGAAGATGCGGGAGGGACGGGAAGCGCAAGCTACAGCCGTGGAAATATTGACCCGTGCCTGCGCTAGGGCGAGCTCAAGCTTTCTGTAGTATCAGCTGGGGCTGGGGTGACAAGGGAATCCCCCATTTCCTGGCCTTGGAGGGCTTCCAGCACCTGGGAGCTCCGATCTCCTCTTCGTTCAGGGAAGCTCTGGGCTCAGGGGCGGCGGGAGACGAAACTTACTCGACACCTGCGACCTGCGCACCCTTGAGGTTTTTTTGGATTTTGGTCGTTTGGGGACTTCCCCCGCCCCCTCCCGGCTTTTCAATCCCTCCCCTTAGGCTGTGAGTGGGTCCGGGCAAAGGGGGCGCTATAGGCCGGAGTTTGGGGCAGTGGGATCCTTCCCCAAGGTCCGCGGAAATGCGCTCTCAACTACAAAGTTTCGCTAAGGCTTTGCGCAGAGACTTTCGTCCCGGAGTCGCTCTTGGCGCCCTCCGGAATGTGCCCCCTCCGGGTCGCCGGATGGCTCAGAGCCTCGAAGTCGCCCACCCTCTGGGATACCGCCCGCTGGGTGCAGGGGGCCTCCCTCTGCTCGCACCACCAGCTGTAAACGCCAGCCGCCTTGTGCCTTGCTTCCACAGCGTTTCCACTCTACCCTTTTGTTTGCTTGACCCCTGGCCCCCGAAACTCGCGGCTAATAGAAGCGAAGCTCCATTAGCATTTAGAATGAAAAGCGCAGACTTTCTTAATTCCTCGGGGCATTCATGCATTCGTTCCGGACTTTGTGCATTTCCTATGCAACGTGTAAAATTTGTATTTGAGGGGTGGGGGCGGGTGGAGTTGGAAAATATTTTCCGCTCGTGCACACTGACCCCGAATTCGGGCGGAACTCTTTCTTCAAGTGTTATCCATTCTTCGATTTTCCTGACTTGGCTAGCTCAGAACCAATTGTTGGGGGCAGATAGGTTAATTTCTGAGCGACGACGGGCTGCGCGTTTTTTAACCTGGGTTGGGGAACCACAACACCTCGGCGAGCGCAGCCTTGGCTCCCCCAAGGCTCTGTGATGCTTTTTTTGGCCAGGGACTCCGGACACCTTAAGCACTGCTTTCTGATTCTTGTAATTCTTTGTAATTAACGTTGCATTTCTAGAGATCCCCACAACCCCCACCCCAATACGTCCAGGCCGCGGTGACCCAGCTTTGTCCTATCCCCCGATGCCCGCAGAGTCCACTGCGGAAGAGCGCAGCCCGGCAAGCCCCAGCCCTGAGACTGGACCCTCAGCGGAGCCGGGCAGCACTGCCGCTGCTTCGCCCCGCAGGACATCTCCACCTCCTCCACTCTCAGCCTCCGCTGGAGAGACCCCCAGCCCCACCATTCAGCGCGCAAGATATCCTCCAGGTAGGTCTGGCACAACCCCTTATTCCTTCCGAGCTGGGAGAGGTGGGGGCGTGGAGAGGAGCCACACACCCAGCGGGCAGGTTGGTCGACTTGCCCAGCGCCAGGACAGTGAGTGACTGCTGGCCACGGATTTCACAGCACAGGTGGCTTCCATGCACGAAGCTCTTCTGGATACCACACCCTGTTGCTACCCAGTGAAGCAGCCAGGTTAAATTAAGCATTGTATTTCTCAAAGATATTCTTCCTGAGAAAAATGCAAATACACCAATAGATTAGGATCTTCTTATACATGTCTTTTTCCCCCTGTCCTTTTAATGCTAATGCATTTAAGAGTTATGGGATCATTTTGAACAATACAAGAGCATTTTTTTCGTACAAAACCCAAATCATTTGGGTGCAGACATTTGGAATATTGAAGCTCAGAGAGAAAGAGAAAAAGCATTTGAGCTGAAAACCAAGGAGTAAACTTTAGTTGGGCAAAAGAAAGGACTGCAGATTTGGCTTGTAACACCTCTTTATGCATTTGCTAAAGGGATACCAGGTGCCTGGCCTGTGTAGGCACCAAAGATATGCAGATAAATATAACTGAGTTCCAGCAAGCTCATATTCTATTTGCTGGAAACCTCAGAAGGACACAAAGAAGAGCAATAGGTAGGGATTGGCAAAGACAAGTGATAGAACAGACTAATGGAGAAATCCTAAAAGTGCTGAAGAGAGAATAGATGAAACATCAGACAATGTTCTTTCTTTTAAATGACTATCCTTTCATTTCACCCCAACAACTGGAAAGCAAGATAAGTATTCCTTTAACTTCAAACTAATGAGTGTTTGTAAGGCCCTGCTTGGAAAATAAAGGCTTGAACTGGCCTCTCCTCATCACTGCTTCTTCCAACAGGCCCTCATCACCTTTTTTCAAGTCAAGATTTCATCCCATACATGCATGACTCAATCAGATTTGGAAATGTGGGTAAGAGAAAGATGTCAAAGGAAATGTGAAGCATTCACTTTTCTATTAGTCACACTTTTTACACCGCAGACTCCAAAGAGATGTTAAGCACCTGGTTTTCCTTTTGGTTCAGAAAAACCAACCACCAGAAACTGCCCATTTTACTATTCATATTTAGCCATAAAGAAAGGGAAATAATTAGATAAATCATCCAATAGAACCGTAATTCTTAGGGTCTTCTCATCCAGCTCAACCTCTCTGAGCAATAGTAAGCACCATGGATATCTGTTGCTTTGGGAGCTCAGAGAAACTAAACCTGTTAAACTGCTTTGTTTTCTAGGGGTGCTATTTCTTCTGTCATAAGAAAACATGTAGCTAACTCACCTGTTATGATAACTGTAAACTGTTGTCATAAAGTAGCCACTGATAAATTTTATTAGAATTGGGGGAATATGTGTATGTAGTGTATATAGTGTATATGGCAGAGAGCAGGTTTGGTGGGTGTTTTGTTGCAGCTGCTGATCTTTTTCTTTGCAGATGGTACAAACTCCCCCGAGTCCATTTCCTGGGCCTATGTTCCCACCTCACCACCTAGCTGGCTGAAATCATCAACAGGGGTCCAGTTTGAGCAGGCTGCTAGCCCTATTTGGAGGAGTGGGGAGGGGGTGGGAGAAAGCGACCACAACGTGTGTGGGTGGCCTCAGTTGGCACTCATAAAATATTAGAATGTCACTGGGCCAGTGAGTCCCACGTAGGACACTTTTTTTTAACTAACTCATAGGTTTATAAATTAGAGTGTGATTTGGGGGACCTCTAGCCTCTTTCCCCCAAGAAAACCAACAGAGCATTCACTGCATTTCTTTTAGTCCTCCCAATTTGTGGCTGAGGTCACTCCAATTAATCAATAGGGCTCAAAACAACTTTTTAAAAACACCACTGGACTTATAAGGGAAGACATCAAATTTCCCAGATCTGGTGGAGGACAGGGCAAGGGAGGGAAGGTGGACACAGAGGCCCCCAGGAAGCCGGGTTTTGGCCTTTTGACAATCTGTCAGAGATTCAACTTTCTTCTCAGGGAAGGAAGAGGGAAAGGAAGGAAAGAAGGGAGGGAGGAGGAGTGGGAAGGAGAATGGAGCTTTAAATCTATGCTATTAGGAGGATAGGATGCCACTTCCTCTCTGTTTCCCAAATTAGAGAGCAGTGAATCCATTACTGCCTATTAGCTAGAAAGAGTGCTGACTTGCTTCTGAGACCTTTTTCCCTGTCCCTGCAGATATGCCCTGCGTGCAAGCCCAGTATAGCCCTTCGCCTCCAGGTTCCAGTTATGCAGCGCAGACGTATGGCTCGGAATACACCCCGGAGATCATGAATCCTGACTACACCAAGCTGACCATGGACCTCGGCACCACGGAGATCACGGCCACTGCTACCACGTCTCTGCCTAGCTTCAGTACCTTCATGGAAGGCTACTCGAGCAACTACGAACTCAAGCCCTCCTGTCTGTACCAAATGCAGCCATCGGGGCCGCGGCCCCTGATCAAGATGGAGGAGGGCCGCGCACACGGCTACCACCATCACCACCATGACCACCACCACCACCACCACCATCACCAGCAGCAACAGCAGCAGCCATCCATTCCGCCCCCCTCCGGCCCGGAGGACGAGGTGCTGCCCAGCACTTCCATGTACTTCAAGCAGTCCCCGCCATCCACCCCGACCACGCCGGGCTTCCCGCCGCAGGCTGGGGCACTGTGGGACGACCCGCTGCCCTCCACGCAGGGCTGCATCGCTCCTGGCCCGCTGCTCGACCCGCCAATGAAGGCGGTGC